ATAAGCCAATCACATTTCTTAAATTTAAAGTACTTTTCGAATCATATTGTGGCGGGGACATATAATAAAGATTTCCCGGTCCTGATCGAACACCATTCCCCGATTTGGTAAAACTTTTCTCTGTTTTGATTGGTCAATTATTAACATTGCATATTTATACGACAAAAAATAAGAAAAATTTTGGGCTTTATATAAACAAACCCTACAGCTATTTAAAATATTGCAACGCAATTTAACTTATCACTAGAATATGCACCTACCACCCATACAAGAATTGGGCGTGTTCGAAGATGATCCTTCACTATATCGTCAAAGTAAATATCATAGCGTTGAGAAACTTGATGGTTTTATAAATAAATTTACTAATAAGTTGCGATACACCCATCCCACCAGATACCCAACCTCTAGCAAAAAATACAACGGGTACAAAGCCACTCTTAGTGCGTTACCTGATATCAGATTCTATCAGTAAGTATGAAGTGTTTTTTTGCTTACATTATATAACTGCACTAACCGTGCTAGTCGTACAAAATGGACCCATCCTTTAACTAAACGTATTTCTTTACATTAATAATTATAGTAACTGATCTGATGCCTATGGTTGGCGGATATGCAATTACCAACCATACAGGAATAAGGTGCCTTAAAAGTAAATAGCGTTTAGAAACTTTAGGAAATGATAGTTTTATAAAATTACTAATTAATTCTTTATTCACATTTAATAATAATAGGAAGTTTCTGATTGGGCCATTACGCGGTTAGGATTTGGGCGTATTTGGGTATCTTGATGATGATCTCCATCATCAAAGCCATTGTTAAGTTGTTGGAGAAGTCCTTGTACAGGACTTGCTGAAATACAGCTCATCACAATCGTCTTTTCGAGGGGAAATCGAATGATAGTTGGGACATTGTCTCCCTTATTATATATTTTTTTAAAAAAGAAAGAAACGAGAAATGACTTCAGACATTATACCCTTTTCAAATTTACATTCACAAGGTTGAGCATCGCAATTCTATACGCAGATCGTCACAATCATCACAACCTCATTATAGTATGTAGTGACTTTCAATTGTAGTAATATCTAGACAGAAGGGATATTGTTGGATATGATTGGAACGATGTTTGAGAGATAAAGATATACAACACTGGGCTGGTAGAAGAACAATTACAAACGGAAATCAATTAATGCAATTAGTTTTATATTAGTAAAATAAATTGAAATATTACTTTCGTTAAATTTCGGTATATTTTAATTTATAT